AGTAAAATAAGTGCGTAGTAAGCAATGAATTTACTTTGAAACAAACCCAAGACTTTTTTTTTATAACCTTCCACTATTAGCAGGAACGAAACGAGTTACGGTGATTATCTTGTACTGTTTCTGTAATGTTTTAATAGCATAATTAAGCTGTAAAGCGAATAAATTAATTATGAGTTTTTTAAAAATATTATAATTATTTCGCAGTTTGTAACAATGTCATTTTTCGACAGTTTTTATTGGATCGTGTCCATCACCGTCACTAGCGTATTCGTGAAAAACTGTGCATTCTAAGCTCTTACCTGCGAATCAAAATCATTAAATAGACACATGTAAGGAAGATACAATATATACATAATATACTAATGAACACGTAAAACCAACAAGAAACGAATAAAATATAAATAGAACGTGGGTCTTAGAGTACGCGTGAAACAACCACACCTACTGCGCTATTATCCTGGCACAGATAATAATTGCATAGCGTTACTGTTGTGTAACAAGTGAATAATAAAATGCGTTCTTATGAGGGGAGGTGTGGGTTTTGTGAAAGGGACATTTTAGATGTTCAGGTTGGTGAGATTGATGATGCTGTTCTTCCGGGTTTTGGTACGTTAACCCGTTTTTACTGGCATTCGTGTGCCAGAGACTCGCATGTGACACAGGCAGGTGTCGACATTGTGTTGACATTGAATTTCATCGTTTGTCTTGGCCAAAGTTATTTTATGGGACAGGAACGAACTCTGTTTAATATAATGTAATGAAATAGTTCTTTTGTCATATTCAGAAAGTTTTTCATGTATCACCGTAACATAAAACATACGATGTTACCGATTGGCGTGCCACCTGCTAGTACTTTGTGTTCAGCAACCATCTTCAGTTCCACATTTCCATGATGAGTAGTAGGGAGCGGAATATCACTTTAACAATTTTTTAGGAGTTGTTCTAAATAACTTATATTGACGTCTGAGTGTTTTAAATCTGTGAGGGGGGAAAATGTTATTGATTCTCTTTATTTGTCGACGCTTTTTCAGCTGAATGGATTTTGTCAAATGTTAAAAAGGAGGATGATTGTTTGAATTGCAAATGGGAAACATCTTAGAGGAAGTGGTCTGTTTGAAGATAAAATCCCTGTATCCATCTGCAGAGTCGAGCTAGTCGGTCTCCATGCCGAGATTTGAATCAGGGATCTAACAAATATTAAGGAGCTCCAAAATGCAATGACTGATTCCGTTACAAGTGGGAAACATGTTTGATGAGTTAAATATGTTAGTATAAATTAAATATATAGCATTAAAGGGGGGGGGCATCTGTGTCACACAAAATGTAGTCTTTGTAAGAGAATGGTGAAGAATCGAATAACTCTAACTTAAATTTATTTTATATATTTACATACAAGTATTATAACTTTAACTTTACAGAACTTAAACACCTACAGACTTTGTGCCAAAAGTGTCAATATATTTTAAAGATTCTAATAATTTGTTGTCTGTTTTCACATGACCTCTTGACTTCGTATTTACAATTTTTTAATTACTGGTTTGAGAATCCCGATAACTTACAGAACAACATCAAGTATAAAATACATTGAACTCAGACGAAGCTCATTTTAAGTTTCACTCATGATATCTAAGATAAAAGGTTAATATTGCATCTTTTCAGTTTTATACAAATAAGTATGGCTGCAATACAAAAGAACTTACACAACTTATTTCAACAGCACTGTTCTGGCTTTAACTTCAGGGAATTTGTGTGGGAAGAAGTAAAATTACACATCCACAGACATCATATTTAAGATTGGATAATTTCTTCATTATCTCAATGCCAAGGTTAAGCTGAAGCCCTGCCTCAGATATTGACCCATAGTAGGTGACCCATACTACATGTTATTGCCAACATGAACTTCATCGTTAGATAAAAAAAGCACAAACTGGTCGGAGAGACAAATGTCACAGTCCAAAAGTGATATTTTTGCCCTCATTTGCATTCTGTTAGTACTGATGTTGCATAGACGACAGATAATTACGCTTGTTTGTCTGTAATATGTTATATATTTCTCTCGTATTCGCATGTAACCTTAATTTGAAACCAGAGGCCATTTTTAATTGTTTCCAATTTTCAACACGTGACATAGCAGTAGAGTGTAATAAATTGAATTGGTCATACATGTACCTAGAATAATAAACCAGTGATGTAAAGGGCTTTTTGTCTTTTGTAATATATGCCTTATGTAATTAATGTTTTAAAATTCCGTTTATATCTCCAAGAAACGTTGCTACATTCTCACCCAAATCAGTGAATTAAACGTACTTTAGAATAGTGGTACTCAACCTGGGGTACGCGAAGACATCTTAGGGGTACGTGAAATTTAAAAAAAATATTATTTTATTATAAACACTGAATAATCAGTAATGTAATTTATTTAATTTATTTTAGATGTAGATTATATACTATGTATAACTTGAATTATACACCTTTGGGGGTACAAATTTGGAGAGAAATTATATCTGGGGGCATGCAAACAAAAAATGGTTGAATGCCACTGCTTTAGAACACTTTATTCTTATGCACTTTATGCTTGATGACTGATTAATTTTCCGTTTGTTTACACTTTTCCAACTGCATTGGTTATATCTTATTGAGTCGAAGGTTTTATTTACTTATTTGTTATTAGTCTATGTTATGAATGATGATATTGTTTTAGTGTGATATATGGAATATGATTTTGGCTTTGTTGTTTAAACTAAGAAGAATTTTACAGGTAGAAACTTTCGTCAAATGATTCCAAACACAATGTCTTTCTTCTTGAAGGGTGTGGATATTAATATTGTATGCAGATAACAGTATAGTAGCCTTTAAAAGGGTGGGGTGGGGTTATTACAGATCATTTCTGTAAGTAATTTAAAGAAGGAAGTGGAGCCATTATTATAAAATTTTGTTTCTTAGTCAGATTTCAGATATTAAATCAGTTTTTCTATGTGAGGCATCATAAATTTATTCTTGAATTTTATTTTTCATTACATTATAATTATATTCTACTCCTTATCATCAGTTTAAAATTAGAGAAAACGTGACTTCATGGTTAAAAATGTAAGCTCTAATCATCTAGTACAGGTAACATTGAAATTGCTAATTGTATACTTTGTTTGAACGAATGTGAAAATTGTAAAAATATTATTTGCTTTTGGTGTGATGACATTGAGATTTTTTATATAAATTATGTAAACTAGTAACTGCTACATTTTTTGATAAAGCACTAACAGCCATTTTGTTTTCTATTTTTCAGCATCACAGAAATGCAAAATTGGATGTCAAGGTCGTAAGTATTTATTGTTCTTTTAATTAAATACTGTGCACACAGATTAATGCTTCACATCTGTGCAAAGCAAGGATGTTATTTATATCCACATTTAAATAATTCTTGAAAGTAGCAGTTAAGGAATAATAGCAGCTTTTTAAATTTTGATTTATTAATTATATATTTGATAAGTGAATAGTTTTTAGTGTTTAATTGTTGTTATCAAACTGTATTAGACTGTATTTCATTTTATAAATGTAAAGTTTTAACTTTTTTAAAGAAAGTAGGCAAGACAAAGTACAATTCATTACCCCGCTGTTATTATATTGTCCAAATAATGGGCAAACCATGAGTAACAGTTCGTTGCCTAGTTTTGCGACATGTACTGTAGTCATGAATACTACTTGTTGTGGGTGGTTTATGGAAACTTTTAAACTGAACTTTAAGTAGTGAACTTATTTTATTTGTAAAACCACTGAAACATCATAGTGCCTTTCCTATGTGTCGTTGCAGATCAGGCTAATGCACACATAGCTACTCAGTGTTAATTAAGCTTTCCTGTTGAAAAGGAATAATATTACGATTGGTCTTAGCGAAATGTTGATAGGTACATTAATTGTATTGTACTGACTCAGTATAGGAACCTGCAACAAGCTTTCTGAGGTCACTCAGTTTAAATGTCTAGTTTCTTTAGACTGAATTTCTTGTACTACCTAGAAAATACCCTGTTCCAGAGAACTGATTGGTTAGTTAAAAAACCTTGACATTAATCATAATGATCAGAGCAGAAAATTAGCAGGAGATTAAAAACAAATGGGAGAATAAAATCATTCTGATTGCATTTTTTGTTTGTTCCAATTTTTCTTCTTGGCACAACTTTCTGTCCTTATTGGTTCAGTAGAGAGAAGGAAGGGCAGTAAAATAGTCTGGCATAGTGTTAGGAAAGTATGCCGTTACCAGGTTTGTTTGAGATGGAGTAAAAATATCAAGATTTTGGATCATTCTGAATTCTGTCCCACTTTAATTCAGCATTTTGATTATTATCTTAAGGTTACATGAAGTGTACTGTGCCCTGTTCAAGCCTGAAGTATTGAAGCATCCATGTGAAAGTTAATTAGATTACCAAATTTTGTTTCAAGGACCGTCCATATACCAGTTGCAATACGGAACTGGATATACTTATGTGTACAATTTTGAGGGGAATACGGTTGCAAGACTACCGGGTCAACAAGGGGATGGAATAAGTCTTCAGTTGAAGGCAACAGCAGAAGTCAGCATATTGGACAACTGTCAAGGTGTCCTGAAGCTAAAAGATGTCCAAGTTACTGGACCTGACTCACAGGTAAGAATCTTAATTTGATAATACAGATGTGTCAGCCTTTATCTGCCATTGTGTGATTCATTTGCCTGTGTCACAATAACATACTGCTAACTATTAAACCCTGGTGTTAAAGTTCAGCTGGCAGCCTCCTGTTTCTATACAACAGAGGTTAATAATACTATTTCACATTAACATATAGTTTAGAGATGAATAGCTTTAATACCATGAAAATGAGTTATTAGTTGTGTTTCAAAAGGGAATAGTAAAGCATCCATTAGTTACACCAGAAACTATATAATAGCTATGCAAATGGCAATACATAATATATGGGATGAATGGTATTGAAACCCGGTATGGTAAATCTACGTTAAATTTTGTAGAACAAATTTATTTTGATGTATTTCAGTTAATTTAAAGTACCAGTTTACTCAAGAGCTTAAAAATCTTTTATATATATATATATATATATAATTTTTCATCCTCTAAGAAATGTTGGTTATATTTTATATACAGCACTTCATACAAATATTACCATGTGTAAATTTCATTCACTTTAATTTATTTTAAGATTTCTTAGTATTTTAACTGATAGATAAAGAGGTTATTAAATGTTTCTGTAGTAAATATACATAAAAATTACCTAATGTTAAGATTATTACAAAATCTGGCGCCAAACAGTGTGAGACAAACATATTGAAATGTACCATGTTTCTCCATTGTTTGGCGCATAGAAATACAGCCATCTTAGTGACCTGGAAGCTCACCCAGTTTCATTTGGCTATGAGAATGGCATCGTGGACAGGGAATTGTGCACAGAGGAGAAAGACAGTGAGGCATCAGTCAATATCAAGAGGGCAGTGCTGTCTCTTTTACAAGTGGCTTCAACTGATGCTGTCAAAACAGGTCAAAGCAAAGTGGTAAGAAATCTAGGTCTTTCTGCTAATATGAGTATCTTTTTTGTTTTTTTAATAAAATAATATAGTTTGTCATTTGCTTTTGAAATCTGTAGTCTTCATTCAATAGGTAGTATTTCAGTTGCTATGACACTTATGTGGGGAAATGGAGACATTGCTAATTAATAATGGTTGTGTTAGATGTCTGAATCATATTAATAAATAAAAGTATAACACACCCTCAGGTGTTACTTATTGAACATAGTCTGTACCACTTAAGGCATCATTCTGATTTTAAACATATGTTCAGTCTTCATTTGTTCTTAGATTGTTTACTTTGAAGAAAGAAATTTATGTGAATGTGAAATTGTTACAGTTACTGATTGTAAATATTATTAATTTTGGATATTCTTTTAAATGCATTTATAGTAAATATGAAAATTTGTTGCAAGTCACAAAATCACTGAATATTTAGAGTGTTGTGATGTATTATATATTTAATTTTGTATTTAATATAGAATACTGCATTGTTTCACGAGTTATAATAATTTTGAAAGTTATACCTGACATTCAATACTTAAAAGAATATTGCAGAATTGTGGTATTACTAGTTAATTTAATGTGTAATTTGCAGCTTGATGTGTTTGGTCTCTGCCCCACTGACATCAGTGTCGCTGAACGTGGTGACACAACCACCATCACAAAAATTAGGAACCTCAATAAATGCCAACTCCGCGAACATCTGCGACAGGATTTTGCTTCTGTAACATATCCTATTAATTCAGTAAGTATATGGCTATAGTAGA